ACATTTTCAGAAAATATTCAGGAAAATATTTTTTTCCCACCCCCTTCCAGCAAAAGAATCTTTTTTCGCTAAGCATCACAAGGAACATACCGGCACTGTCGCTTTAAAAACAAAACGAAATGCTCATTAGCTGGCCTATTTTTTCAGGTGTGTTCTAATTGTGCTAATTAACTCGAAGGTAGATTTTTAGCACTTCAGCCTCCCTTTCTGCCTTCAAATGCCAAAACAAATCTTGCCATAATTACCAGCAATCCTTTTCATTACCGGCTGGCTAATTATCCTATTAATAGCACATCCTCAGAGACGATATTTGCTTGGCAGGCAAATATTTGTTTTTAAATTAGCAAACACAAAGACAAACTGTTCTGTTTGCAAAAGGATTTGGAAATGCAAAATGGTTTATATTTGTGGAAAAAAATATAATCCAAGTAAAACCAAATGCTTCATCCATTTGAAGCATTTGAATCTTTTTAGTGTGATCATCTAGGGGGAGGCTAACTAAGCCAGGAGAGGTAGCTTTAAATACTTGGATAATAATGTGTGTCTATCTATACATGGGTTTGTGTGCATTTTATCACCGGGGAAAGATGATGCATGGCAAACAACTGGAAAAATGGAACCTCACAGCAAATTATAAGTCTCAGAACCATCTCACTCGGGGAAATAATGAAAAGAGAGGTTTTGAAGTATCTTCCGAGCTGGTTAAATTTAAAGCTGAAGCTGTGAAGCTCTTTTTAAATGTCACCCACAGCATATCGACAGCAAAATGATATGGGAAGTCTCATAAATAAATCTGATAGGGATATTTTTCTTCTTCTTTTGCTACTTATTTAGCAATTTATTTGTTTTCTACAGAGTGCTCCATATCATTGACGCTTTCTCCCACTGCAATAAACTGAAACACATCTGCATGGTGTGTTTATACACTTTTTTAGGAAACCTTTCCTGGAATTAAAGAGTCCTAAAAGTGGACTTTTTCCCATCCATTTGTGGAATAATTTTATGTGCACCAAGGTATGTGTCAATGTGCACCACCAATAGAAAAAAAACTAGCCATGGATGCTCTGCTGATCAGCTGGGTGGCATTTGAATATGTCCTGAGTGGCCGCACACGCTTACAGCTTACAGGGAACACTGGTTGGTGGTTTCACACCATGGAGATGTCCATGTTGGGTTAATACCAACAAGGAAAAGTTTGCCAGCTGGTGTTGTAGGATGTCTCATTGGCTGGGGGGCTTTGGAAACCTGGGTTCAAAACCCAGCTTAAGTCACAAATAAAAACGAGAAAGATGATATTAGCCACACCCTCATTTGCCCCCAGGAGGGGCCAAAGAGCTGCTCCGGGGGCCAGGACTGGACCACGCAGGCATTGAGAGAAGTGTCAGGGAGATTGCACAGTGCTGTCCTGCACAGTGGGCCTAACCCACGCCCCTCTGAAATCACCTGGAGTACTTCTAGGAGACAGGTGGAAGGGAGTTGGGGGAAGTGAATGCTGCTCAGATGAAGAAAAGAGCCTCCCCTTCGCTCTCCATGAGGCTGTGGAGCACGCAACACGCAGAGACCACCTCGGGGATGTTGTGCTCCCCCACATCGAGGTACCTGAACCGGGCCTTGAGGCACCCGAAGGCGCATTCCACCTGCATGCGAGCCTGGTTCAGGTGCGCGTTAAATTGTTCCTTGCTCGGGTCCAGGTGGCCAGTGTAGGGCTTCATGAGCCACGGCATCAGTGGGTAGGCCGCGCCGCCCAGGACGGGGGGCTGTAAACAAATTCTATGAGACCGTGGGAAACTTGGCCATACTCATGAAAAGTGGACATCCAGCTAACTAACATCATTCCGGACCATGGATGTTTCCGGATCAGAGAGTTCTGGACTAGAACGGTTCAACCTGTACTCACAATGTCCCATACATGTACAATGTCACCATTTCAGCAGACCGATGTCACTGGAGCACCTGCAATGATGGTAGCAGCAGTGGAAATGCTAATGTAGATAGGTCCTAAGATGTCTTCTCTGTAAGCATCGCATTGTCCTGTCATAGAAGGTCAGCTCTTGGCAGCACTCTGTCTAGGAAGACCTGGACAAATTTGCTTATGGGAAGAATGAAAACTGAGGGAAAAAAACTGTCGGGGGCTGCGTCCAAAATGAAATTTTAAAATAGTTTTGGTGACGCGAAAAGTTGAAAACATTGTTTTAGGTTGAACTGAGAACACGGAGAGCCAGGACGGGGGGCTGTAGACACACTGTATGGGACTGTGGGAAACTTGGCCATGACAAGCGGACATCCGGCTAACTACATCATGCCGGACCAGAGAGTGCCGGACTAGAGAGGTTCAACCTGGATACGGCTAACACTAACAAAAGGCGCTACAGGTTGTCCAGGTGTCCACATATCATGGGTGTGGCCAAGTTTCTCACAGTCCCATAAAGTTTGTTTACAGCCCCCAGTTCTGGGTCTAAATGTCCTCGAACAGCCCAGCAAGCAGGGGAAGTGTTGGTGATGCTGCTAGACAATATTGACTTCTCGTAGTCTGGCAAATTTTCTGGTTCGGCACCGGTCAGGTCCCAAGGATGCCGGACTAGAGAGGTTTGAGGGGTAGATGGGCTTGCAGAATCCAGTCCGTTAACCTACAGGGAGGATGATGGCATATGCAGAAGGAACAGCTATATTCATCAGGCCCGCTTGTCACAGGCCAACTGAAGCGTGTTCAGTATGTTGAGCCAGGCAATTTGCACAGGCCCCTGGAACTCCAGATGTTTTCCTGTCTAAGAGGCTAATAGTCTCGGTTTTACAGGAAAAGGTAAAAGCACGCTGCTGCTGTCACACCTCAGCCATGAAACGCACGATGAATCCTTCCAATCTAACACAAAGCTCTTTTGCTTCAAACACGTGAGATTTCAATACGTAACTGACAAGCGTCAACGTGGGAACTTAAGACTTCCAGGGTTGCGCCGGGCCCGGACCAAATCGCTACATGTATTTGTTCATGTTTTCCACCTTTAAATGCTCAAGGTACATACCAAGGAATGGAAAGTTTGACATTTACGTTTGGACTGAGCTTCAGCCATGTGCAGAGAGCCGGAACACCGTGCCCTTGAACTCATGCCGTGGCGCTATGCGGCGTGGTCTGGGCAGCAATGACGACGTAATCTGACCCACCACAGAGAGGAGAGTGATAACCGGGCAGGGTTTTGCAGCTGTGCGACTCTACAAAGTTCAGTGGGTACGAGTAAGTGAGGTGCATACGAAAGTCGGAGCTCACGGGTATAAAGGCAGGAGGGTCATGGGCAGTGGGGGAAGGCCCATCTGGGGAAGACAAGTCCCAGCCCCGCCCCTTCCACCTAAGGCCCGCCCCTAGAGACAAGCCCCGCCCACCACTCCCCAGCATCCAGGGAGCAGGGCTGCCACGACACTGCTCCAGCCTTCTTTGGTGGCTGGGGAAGCCGGGCGGCCATGCCGCAGCTCCAGACTCCCGGCAGCCGGGGCATGTAGGCAATTTTGGGAAGGCTGTGCCTTGCTTGGTCTACACTACCGTCTGCCCATGAGGAAGGTCCCCCTTAAAGACTGAAAGGCCCTTTCTCCTAAGCCAGGCTCTCTGAATCTCATCATATTCTCACGCGTGCTGACCCACACTGGTGCTACCGCGGTTCAGTGCCACCGGGCCTTCCATCCTACCACACAGTGTATCTGTTCCTGGGAAACGGCCCCACAGCGAGACCGTTCAGTTCCGGGCTGTGGGGTCTCTCTCGCGGCCCCTCCCTTCCATCTAGAGCAGCAGTGGTTCAGCCCTCTGCATACAATGCTGCCAAGAAGCTTATGGGGAGTCTGTGAGGGATTCGAGGGTGCAGCGAGAGAGCCAATCAGCTGCTCTCAAGCTGCATACGCCCGAGCATTAATTAATGCAGGGAACGACATACACCGGCAGCTGTCAAGAGTGACAGGCAGCTGTGAGGAGCAAACTGGTCCACAGGGCCGATGTGGTTCAGCCCTCTGCATACAATGCTGCCAAGAAGCTTATGGGGAGTCTGTGAGGGATTCGAGGGTGCAGCGAGAGAGCCAATCAGCTGCTCTCAAGCTGCATACGCCCGAGCATTAATTAATGCAGGGAACGACATACACCGGCAGCTGTCAAGAGTGACAGGCAGCTGTGAGGAGCAAACTGGTCCACAGGGCCGATGCTCTGCTCAGAGTGTAAGCGGAGGGGGCGGGGGTGTGTGTGTGTGTGTGGGG